TAAGTAGAACATTGACAGAACCAAAGTATACAATTAGCAAGTAGAACATGGACAAAACCAAAGTGTATAATTAGTAAGTAGAACATTAACAAAACAAAGTATATAATTAGTAAGTAGAACATTGACAGAACCAAAGTATATAATTAGTAAGTAGAACATGGACAAAACCAAAGTGTATAATTAGTAAGTAGAACATTAACAAAACAAAGTATATAATTAGTAAGTAGAACATTGACAGAACCAAAGTATATAATTAGTAAGTAGAACACTGACAAAAACGCATACTTAGTAAGTAGAACAGGGACAAAACCAAAGTATATAATTAGTAAGTAGAACATTGACAAAACCAAAGTATATAATTAGTAAGAGAACATTGAAAAACCAAAGTATATAATTAGTAAGTAGAACATTGACAAAACCAAAGTACATAATTAGTAAGTAGAACATGGACAAAACAAAGTATATAATTAGCAAGTAGAACATGGACAAAACAAAGTATATAATTAGTAAGTAGAACATTAACAAAACAAAGTATATAATTAGCAAGTAGAACATGGACAGAACCAAAGTATATAATTAGTAAGTAGAACATTGACAAAACAAAGTATATAATTAGTAAGTAGAACATTAACAAAACAAAGTATATAATTCGTAAGTAGAACATTGACAAATCCAAAGTGTATAATTAGTAAGTATAAGATGGACAAAACCAAAACGTATAATTATTAAGCAGAACATTGAGAAATCCAAAATATATAATAAATAGTATAACATGGACAAAACCAAAATATATAATAAATAGTATAACATAGACAAAACCAAAATATACAGTTAGTAAGAACAATACCGACAAAAACAAAACGTACTCTTAGTAAGTTCAACATCGACAAAACCAAAACACCTAATTAAAAAGTACAGGATCAACAAAACTATATCATAACAGCTGTAATGTTCTTAATTTCGTTAGTGTATTATAATTGATGTGCAAATAATATTGTTTATTCTGTTGTGTCAATTCTGTATTATACAAATAGTCATATTTGTGATTTTTAATGCATTACAAATTTGTTTATTGTATTATAAGTGATAGTATTGTACTATAACAGCTGTAATAGTAGTGATTTGTTTATTGTATTATAAGTGATAGTATTGTACTATAACAGTTGTAATAGTAGTGATTTGTTTATTGTATTATAAGTGATAGTATTGTACTATAACAGCTGTAATAGTAGTGATTTGTTTATTGTATTATGAGTGATAGTATTGTACTATAACAGCTGTAATAGTAGTGATTTGTTTATTGTATTATAAGTGATAGTATTGTACTATAACAGTTGTAATAGTAGTGATTTGTTTAGTGTATTATAAGTCATAGTATTGTACTATAACGGCTGTAATAGTAGTGATTTGTTTATTGTATTATAAGTGATAGTATTGTACTATAACAGTTGTAATAGTAGTGATTTGTTTAGTGTATTATAAGTCATAGTATTGTACTATAACGGCTGTAATAGTAGTGATTTGTTTATTGTATTGTTAGTGATAGTATTGTACTACAACAGTTGTAATAGTAGTGATCTGTTTATTGTATTATTAGTGATAGTAATGTACTATAACAGTTGTAATAGTAGTGATTTGTTTATTGTATTATAAGTGATAGTATTGTACTATAACAGTTGTAATAGTAGTGATCTGTTTTCCTCTCCTCACCGTTCCAGGAAAGCCAACAAATTCTCACGTGAAAGAAGGCAAACTGCACCTTTCCTACTTTCCTGAACATGTGAGCTCAAGGTCTCCTGAGACTTCATATTTAGTGACTGTCTTGCTCTTTGCTACCGTAATAGTTTTTTTGACAGGATATTAAGATGGTAATCTCAACGTTCCGGAACCTTCTTAACTTTAGGATTTTGTGTGTGTTAACATGTCAATCAGACGTTTTTCCAGAAACAGAAAAATCGTGTTGATGTTCGACTCCAAACAGTTTTAGGGTGTGGTTGTTGTTGTTGTTGCAGAATTCTATCCCATACTGATTTGTTTTGTCTTCCTAATTACCAGAGAGATACAGGGTGAAAACTTTCTAAACCGAATCAAATGATGACAATTTCCCAAGAAAGTGTCGAATTTTATCTTTCTTTCTGTTTCCTTCAGCTATTATCGAACTCCTCAGATGCTGGAGGTGATATAAAACATTTTAGAGTTGATTTATATGACGTCTTGCACCACGTGTTTCTGACGTAGTTTATCAAACGCGCGAAGACAGTAAGTATCATTTTACGTGTTCATATTGTACGTCGTTTTATGTGATGTCAATATTAATTAACGACAATAGTTTCAAACGTCGTCGTTCTGGAAATGGTGTTAATGAAAAACGGTAGATATTATAGGTACATTATTAAATGGTGCTGGGATATGGTAAAATGTTTTTAATATATATATACTGTACTGACAGGACGCTAGGATCCAAGATATTGGTCATATATAAAAGTCAAACGGTTTGGATGTTTAAACAATAACCGATATCTGCGGTACTAAAGAAATGATGGATCTCATGTATGCGTTAGAAAGTTGGTATTAAATAAAATACATTTGGTTATATATATAAGTGACGAGTTTTTTTATCGCTACGAACTAAAAGAACTTTAGTTATTCGTACGATTCATATATTATGTTTTGTTTAAAACCAACGTTATTGAAACACATTAGGTGATCAGAAGAACTGACTCCTCAACAGAAACCTTTAAATAAAAATGATAATTTTTTAATTCCTTGACACCTTCCTTCAAACACATTATTGGTTTAAAACATTATCATCATGTAAACGTCGTGTTTTAACTGGTTTATAACATTAACATTATATAAACATGTCATGTTTTAACTGGTTTATAACATTAACATTATATACATATGTCGTGTTTTAAATGGTTTGTAACATAAACACTATATAAACATGTCATGTTTTAACTGGTTTATAACATAAACATTATATAAACACGTCGTGTTTTAACTGGTTTATAACATAAACACTATATAAACATGTCATGTTTTAACTGGTTTATAACATAAACATTATATAAACATGTCATGTTTTAACTGGTTTATAACACTAACATTACATTAACATGTCATGTTTTAACTGGTTTATAATGTTAACATTATATAAACATGTCATGTTTTAACTGGTTTATAACATTAAAATTATATAAACATGTCGTTTCCTTTAACTGGTTTGTAACGTTAACATTATATAAACACGTCGTGTTTTAACTGGTTTATAACATTAACATTATATAAACATGTCATGTTTTAACTGGTTTATAACATAAACATTATATAAACATGTCATGTTTTAACTGGTTTATAACGTTACCATTATATAAACATGTCATGTTTTAACTGGTTTATAACATTAACATTATATAAACATGTCGGGTTTTAACTGGTTTATAACATAAACATTATATAAACATGTCATGTTTTAACTGGTTTATAACATAACATTATATAAACATGTCATGTTTTAACTGGTTTGTAACATAAACACTATATAAACATGTCATGTTTTAACTGGTTTATAACATAAACATTATATAAACATGTCATGTTTTAACTGGTTTATAACACTAACATTACATTAACATGTCATGTTTTAACTGGTTTATAACGTTAACATTATATAAACATGTCATGTTTTAACTGGTTTATAACATTAAAATTATATAAACATGTCGTTTCCTTTAACTGGTTTATAACATTAACATTATATAAACACGTCATTTTTTAACTGGTTTATAACATAAACATTATATAAACATGTCATGTTTTAACTGGTTTATAACACTAACATTATATAAACATGTCATGTTTTAACTGGTTTATAACGTTACCATTATATAAACATGTCATGTTTTAACTGGTTTATAACATGTTAACATAACCTCCAACATCAACTAAAGTAACGTATTATAGTAAACCTCATTGAGAAAACGCTTATTAACTGAATACAATAGTTAAAATAATTCTGGAGAAACTTCAAAGTTATTGTGTATATTGCAGAAGACATCTTACGACTATTCCAAAGTTAGCTAAATGTGTTCATGTAACTTACTTACGATTATTCCCAAGTTAGCTGTGTTAATATAACTTACTTTCCAAATATTCCAAAATGAGCTTACTAAACTTGGAACTTCCATGCAGCGTTTTTAATTGAAACGAAAGAGATAAGAACGGTTAACCCTAATTATTCAGGACGTCCATCATGTAAAACTTGTATACAATCTTTCATTCCACCAGAGAATATTGTATGCTAGTTTGATTGTGCTTATATCAGTCTAAGAACTGTGAGTTATATTTCAGGAACAACAAAACAACAGTTATCTCTATAGTCTATCGCCACAGATAGCTGACTTCGTGCTCTCTAGTGGCTTCGAGGAAAATATGCACCATAAAAACTATGGATTTACGAATGGTTCTAGTTATTGGTGAAGGCAGTAACATTTATAAACGTCAGAGTGAGGAATTATACAGCCTACAAAATTGTCCATGTGCTTAGAATCTCCAGTATAGTTATTTGTTTACCATGAACAATGATTGTCCATGTGCTTGGAACATCAAGTATTGTTATTTGTTTACCATGAACCATGATTGTCCATGTGCTTGAAATCTGGATTATTGTTATTTGTTTACCATGAACAATGATTGTCCATGTGCTTGGAATCTCCAGTATAGTTATTTGTTTACCATGAACAATGATTGTCCATGTGCTTGGAACATCAAGTATTGTTATTTGTTTACCATGAACCATGATTGTCCATGTGCTTGAAATCTGGATTATTGTTATTTGTTTACCATGAACAATGATTGTCCATGTGCTTGGAATCTCGAGTATTGTTATTTGTTTACCATGAACAGTGATTGTCCATGTGCTTAGAATCTCAAGTAATGTTATTTGTTTACCATGAACCATGATTGTCCATGTGCTTGGAATCTCGAGTATTGTTATTTGTTTACCATGAACTATGATTGTCCATGTGCTTGTAATCTCGATTATTGTTATTTGTTTACCATGAACCATGATTGTCCATGTGCTTGGAATCTCCAGTATTGTTATTTGTTTACCATGAACCATGATTGTCCATGTGCTTGGAATCTCCAGTATTGTTATTTGTTTACCATGAACCATGATTGTCCATGTGCTTGGAATCTCCAGTATTGTTATTTGTTTACCATGAACCATGATTGTCCAAACAGCTGAAACAAACAGAAAGTAAATTTTGCAAAATTATTAAGCCAAGATATTTTGGAAATGCAATCATAAGATTACTCTTAATGTTTTAGTCGAAGAGTCTAAAAAACACAAATAACAAATAAAATTCAAAGAATGATGACTTTATGTCATATAAGTTTGACGACGGCTATCTTGACACCATGTCTACAGTATTGAACCACAAATAAAATTAATTTATTTTTCGCATCTACTACCGTTTTGTCCCATTTAACATGGCATCATCAATGGTTGGCTATATTTAACATGGCATCATCAATGGTTGGCTATATTTAACATGGCATCATCAATTATTCGCTATAGTGAACATGACATCACCAGCGTTCCGCCTCAGTTAACGTGGCATCATCAACGGTTCGCTACCGTTAACTTGCCATCATCAGAAGTTCTCTAAAGTTAACTTGCCATCACCAGTTTCCCTACAGTTAACTTGCCATCACCAGTTTCTCTACAGTTAACTTGCCATCATCAGAGTTTCTCTACAGTTAAAGCGGTATCACCAAATGATTTCTCGTTAGGAAAGATGAACATTGTTTCTTTAATATAACAGCAAATGTACAACGTTTCGACAAGGTTTTGTCATCATGTCATTATGTTCATGTGGTCACCTATGTTCTGAACGTTTCATGATGTTCATGTGGTCACCCATGTTTTGAACTTTTCATGATGTTCATGTGGTCACCTGATGATGGCAAAACCTTGTCGAAACGTTGTACATTTGCTGTTATATTAAAGTTTTTCTTCATCACCCATTCAAGCCGTCTCCAGCCATTATTAGTCTCAAAGTGGGTTCCTCGTCATCGAATTCGAAATTGTTTCTTTGCTTACGCTTCAGTAGTTCTTAAACACAAAGTTTATACTTTGATAAATCTACTTTGATATAGAAAAGCATTACATCAAATGTATGCGGACGATCACAATGTTATGACAAATCTCATGAATTCTGGTTTGTTATACGATCTTACTGAGTATTTAAAACTCAGATCGTTTTTAGTTTTTATTCCACCTCATGGATTTACTATTCGTGTGCTACCTTTATATCACAGTTATTTCTTTTTAATAGCCTCTCGTGACTTTCCTACCAATCAGAGAGAGGCGTGACTCTGATTAGTGTGTCTGTAAGGCGAGACGTGAACTAGACATCAAAGAGGAGGCAGTCAAAACGCACGTGCTGTTAGCTTCTGGCTAACACCGCTTTAGACACTAATATCTTAACCTTCAGGTCCTGAGTATAAAACAAAATGATGTGGTCACCTATGTTCTGTACGTTTCATGATGTTCATGTGGTCACCTATGTTCTGTACGTTTCATGATGTTCATGTGGTCACCTATGTTCTGTACGTTTCATGATGTTCATGTGGTCACCTATTTTCTGTATGTTTCATTATGTTCATGTGGTCACCTATGTTCTGAACGTTTCATGATGTTCATGTGGTCACCTATGTTCTGAACGTTTCATGATGTTCATGTGGTCACCTATGTTCTGAACGTTTCATGATGTTCATGTGGTCACCTATGTTCTGTACGTTTCATGATTTTCATGTGGTCACCTATGTTCTGTATGTTTCATTATGTTCATGTGGTCACCTATGTTCTGAACGTTTCATGATGTTCATGTGGTCACCCATGTTTTGAACTTTTCATGATGTTCATGTGGTCACCTATGTTCTGAATATTTCATGGTGTTCATGTGGGCACCTATGTTCTGAACGTTTCATGGTGTTCATGTGGTCACCTATGTTCTGAGCGTTTCATGATGTTCATGTGGTCACCCATGTTTTGAACTTTTCATGATGTTCATGTGGTCACCTATGTTCTGAACGTTTCATGGTGTTCATGTAGTCACCTATGTTCTGAACGTTTCATGGTGTTCATGTGGTCACCTATGTTCTGAGCGTTTCATGATGTTCATGTGGTCACCTAT